TCTGAATACCACCCCACTCTGTCTTTTGTATTCTAATTTTACTCTCTCTGCACTTTTGCTGTATGTGCTATATCTCACACACACACTTTTATACGGTGCAAATCTACCCTGCCTTCTGGATGAGCAGTGGAAGAAAAGGATGTTGAAAACTGCAGGCAGGGGTTCTACAAATGTGTCAGATGCAAAAGAAAGATCAGGGAAAGCATTCAGTGGAGAAAGTGAGAGATCCCAGAGGACACAAAAAAGGCAGAGGTAATAAATACCTAATTTGCTTTGGTCTTTACCAAAGAAAAAAGGTCTTCAGAAGATTATCAGCATTGATAAAACAAGGGATGTGGAAAAAGTATAAAATTAAGCTAGTGAGGAAAGATATTCATATCTGGGGGTTTTCACTTGGGAAAGAGGGGCTAGGTCCAGTTTACCTTGTGCTTGGTTTTTCCAAATTGCTTATTTTAGTCCTGAGTGAGTGTCTTTCATCCTTAAAAGTTACTGTAGAATCCTAGAAATACACCAGCAGGGAATGCATTGAAAGCAGTGGCTGGGGAGTGCTCTTCATGTGTCTTAAAATCCAAATATGAAACAGAATTTTAAAAACTGCAAGACTGAGGTGGGAAAGGAGAGAGAGAGAGAGAGATAAATTGCCTTAGAAGTTTACAAAGTCTTATTCCTTCCCATAGGCCCAATCACATAAATCCAAAAAGAATCTTTTTTCAGTCAAAAAGAATAAAAATAGTTATATTGCATATAGAGGAACTTCAGGTGACAACCAATCTGTTCAGGGACTGCTGAAAAGGAAACTTTTTTTTTCTAATCCAGTGTGTAATTAGCCAAAAGAAGTCACTGCCACTCCCAAATACTAGGGAGACCAAGATTTAGTAGGGTTCTTTAGTTTCATCTCCTGTCCCCAATGGTGCTGGAAAGGGGTGGGGGGGGGTTCCAGCTGCTTTGTCTGGTACGACACATGGTTATGCTCCTAGGAGGGCTCAGAGTAATGGTCATCTTTATGTCATTTTTTTATGCCTAGAAAGGTTCTATTTTACGTTATTTTGAAGATACTTTACACAGGAAGAATGGTCTTGTGATTTACGGGATAGAAGAGATACTTGGGGAAATCTGAGTCAGATCCCTGATTCCATCATTGACTTCCTGAGTGACCTGATCTCTTAGCCTTAGTTCTGCAACTGTAAAACAGAGATGTTTATACCTACCATCTCCCATGCTCTCTGTCTTGTCCATTGAGACTGTAAGTTCATTAGAGCATGGACTCATTTGTTACTGTGTCGGGGTACAGTCTCTAGCACAGTGGGGCTTGAACTCTAAGGACTTCACATGCACATAGAGTATAAAAAGCCCTAGTTTTAATGTTATTTTCCATCTGATTCCTGAATGTTTGGACTTTTTGGCTAGAGGGATTAAAGAAATAGTTCCACCAAAATGTTCTAAAGCTTCTTAAGCAGGTTTTTTTTCATAGCATGTGGCATATTCAAAATACACAATGGCAGTGTGGTTTGGGTATTTTGTCTTGGTTAGAACTGGTTAGCAACGTGGCTAAGATCTTGTCAATACAACTGCCATATTACGCTTGTATATGGTTACTGGTACTGCTAATGCATGGGTCCCCATTATGTTAACTGTTTACACACACTCTTTGGAGAAGAGACTGTTTTGTCTGTAAAGGGCATGGTACTCTGGGTAATGAATAATAATAACAATAGCATGGGAAGAAATGCTTTTAGATTCATGAAACTTATGTATCTAAAATATATGGGAGTTATAACCTTGCTTCTTTGGAGTCTGCTACAGTCTTTGGACAGTTCCAAGTGTTTTGTCTTTCTTTACCTTTCCTTTATTTAAGTAAGTCCTGTGGGTATGTTGGGCTTCTGAAACTGTTTGACAAAGCTACTGAAGCTGAATATTCTTGTTTTTCCCCCCATAACTCATGGTGTCCCTCAGTGTTTCAACTTACCCAGTTTCATTTTATTCCAGAGCTGAGAGCAGAGGTGGAGATCATTGAACAGATGAGTAGCAGCAGCGGTAGTAGCTCATCTGATTCGGAGAGCTCCTCTGGGAGTGACGATGAAAGCTCTAGCAGCGGTGAAGAGTCTGCACACATTTCCCCTTCTCAGCCATCCCACCAGCAGTACAACAACAGAAACCCTGTTGCTAACGGTACCAGCAGGCCACAAGGAAGCAATCAGCTCATGAATACTCTCAGTAAGTAAAGGTTTGTGCCTTCTCAGTGTGGAAAGCTGTGTGGCTGCTGGTTTTCTAAGGAGGCGAATGTATGTCTGTAGAACGTAATTTACCCAATAGTTATCCCAAGCAGTTACATGCACGCAGGCTTAAATATCTGGACAACACATCTTATAGCCAAAAGGTCGAATTTATCTGAACTTGTAGAGGCTCCTTGGTTTTGAAGCAGGCCCCCTGTGTGACTGGGCAACAAAGCCCCATAGGGGAGGGGAGGGGAGGGGAGGGAGTGAGGCATTTTGAGTGAAGGAGGAAGGAATTGTTCGTGTTTTTTTTTAATTTAAAATAAAAGACAACAATCTGAACTTCCAAAAATATGGATTGGACAGTCAAGTTGTGAAGTTGCCATCTGTGTGTCAGCTGGTTGAAGGCTGATGCTGTTCTTGGCAACTGTTGACCTCTGGATCATGGTGTATGCAGAAAAGGTCTGTGTGACCATCACACTAAGAGCTTCATTGTGTAAACCTAGGCAAGAATATGAAGGAGTGGAGTCTGCCCAAGACCTATCACGTCCTGCCCCCCCCCCC